CGAATTCGGTCGCTTGCACTACACTAGATCAGTGCATACTAAAAGCTGCTTTACGTGAAATTAACAAAGTTAAATGTAAAAGTATATAAATATTCTAAAAGATTTCAACATTTGCAACTGACGCGCGACGATACCGAAATGAGAAAAATAGACATTCACGCAGAGAAGGACAACAGGCGCGACGCGTGTCCTGTCATTCTGTCAACAATCGAAGCAGCGACGACAGTGAGTCTACGAAGAGAAATAGTTCTTGTAGACCACTCGAACGGATCGGACGTGTTCCCTCTCGTCTCGGGTGTTGCGTCACCTCGACTATATTTTTGAAAAGCGTTGCCGGCTTGGACTGTGCCGTAGTATTTCAATTTCGATAGTCCCTTTATCCGTCTTGGCGCGCGGCCGTGCGGCGTGGAAGCGCCGTAGCCGCAGGCGTCCAGTGTTTGAAGAGGCGCCTCATCATTTTTATTGCATCATCCATCACTCGCCCGGTTCGAGGTGGCCGGTGCATAGCACTTCCACTTACGATTAGCCCAATTTGCCCAGTACTTATATTTTTGAAAAGCGTTGCCGGCTTGGACTGTACCTTTACACGACTGGCCAAGTTTACCTCGTTATAAAGAGGGCCAATGAAAAGTTGAAGAAGCTACGAAGAGAAGTGAGTTCGTAGTGCAGTTGCAGTGCAGTGTGGTGTAGTGTAAAAAAAATAGTTATAAATATTTAATAATGAAAACTCATCAATGAAAGAAATTTCCCGCATCTTTCTACAGACTTTCGAAGAAGAAAGCATATGTAAAGAGGTTCGTACATATAATGCATTTCTAATTGTTTCATTCACATCTAAAATGAAAAATGAGTATATGTTAAGAAGACTCCACCTCAAATTTTGATGAAAATACACTCAATCGATGCATAAAAATCAAGATTTGTCAAGAAAGAAGCGTCGTTCTAATCTATGAACAGAGATATTAATTGTTAAAGTTGAGGATCATTCAGGTTAGGAAATCTGTCACAGCAGTGGTTCACTGCTTTAAACACCCAAATTCACTGCTTTAGCAAAGAATTTGTTGTTAATGCAGAGAACTTACATTTTTAAAGCTGTGAATCTGTGTTTTTAAAGCAGTGAACCACTACTATGACATGTGTCCTAACCTGAATAGTTGTCGACGACTTTAACGATTACGATCTTGGTTCATGGGGCAGAGCAACGCTTTTTTCTTACCAAATCTTTACTTTTACACGAAAACACATCGATTGAGTGTATTTTTATCAAAATTTGTGGTGGCCAGGATGTTCTTTACATTAACCAAAAATGCTTTGTGGACATGAATTTAATAAAATTTTATTGAATAAAACAGAAAATTAAAGGGCATTCACCACAAAACGCAAACTATCTTCTGTCATCATCTCATCATAATAGACAACCTTATATACAAAAATCTGTAGAGAAGATCAAGGAGAGGTTCAATTTGGAGTTATGTGGGAGAAGTTATATTGAGTAAAGTATGATCTTTCTTGTAATCGTTCAGTATTACTCTGTTCAATCCACCACAATTTGTTTTTTAATAAATATCTCTTCAGATGTGACTTTTTTGAGATGTGACTTTCCACATCTGAAATGATGTTCATTAAAAAACTAATTGATGAATTAAACAAACAGGATGATACTGAACGATTACTACAGTCATACTTTCCTTTACTCAATATAACTTTCCCCACATAATTCCAGATTGAACCTCTCCTTGATCTTCTCTACAGATTTTGTATATAAAGTTGTCTATCATGATGACAGTTAACAGAACATCTTACAAGTAGTTTGTTACAAAAAGTCATCATATCTCGATATTATTCTACATAATTTGTTGAAAACACACAGGTATTATATCTATTATATAACTTAATTCATGAATTATTGTAATTTATTTAAAAACATTCATGCTACGATTTGAAAATTTTGTGTGCAATTTACTATTAATGACGAACGTTTGGACTATCGGATTGACTGTAATAATAGATATTCATTCCTCTGGATCATATAACTGGACACTTTTGTCTATCATCAGTATTTATTAGGGGAACTCACTTTTAATCATAGATCATAAATTTGTAACAAACGTTTCCTGCGTAATTAATAAATTAAACATAGTATAACGTTAAAACTCAAATTTACGGCTTTTACGTTGTACTAATGCGTTAAATTATATTAAGAATTATTGTGCTACTGAAGATGGCCTAATTTAAGGCCGTAACGTTTATTTAATTATTATTTGAAATATAAAATATCAGTTACTAATATCTTGCATGGTGTATACCCTTTAATTTTTCGTTTTAAATTTAAACCACGCATTGACATTTATTCTTTAATGAATCGATAACAGAGAAGTTATCTGTTATGAAAGTATGGAAATATGTTAGACCACAGGCCTGCCCGACATTTTGCTCGTGAGTCGAAAACGCCTCCATCTCTCCGTCATCTTGGTACAGCGAGACGG